GGGACAATCATTTAAAAAAATTTTTTTAATTGATTTCAGAGAGGAAGGGAGAGGGAGAGAGAGATTGAAGCATCAATGATGAGAGAATCATTGATTGGCTGCCTCCTGACCATCTCCTACTGGTGATTGAGCCCACAACCCGGCATGTGCCCTGACCAGAATAGAGCCGTGACCTCCTGGTTCATAGGTCGACGTTCAAGCACTGAACAACACTGGCAGGGCTAGGACAATCATTTTTAATTTCTCCTGCTTCCCTTCTTAATACGAGTTAGAACAAGGTGTCAAAATAACCCCCTAAGTACCAGTGGTCCATCCTCACCTCTTGGGTCAGCAGGGAGCAAATTAAGGTGATGGAAACGTTTTTCTGAAAGCCTAGAATGTTCTCCTCATAGGCTCTGAGTTAGAACAAGGAGTCAAAATAACCCCCTAAACACCAGTAGTCTATCCTCACCTCTTGGGTCAGCAGGGAGCAAATTAAGCTGATGGAAACGTTGTTTTTCTGAAAGCCTAGAATGTTCTCCTCATAGGCTCTGGCCCCTGAGGCTGACACAAACATGGCATAAACTCTCGGCCTTTCCAGCAGCTGATGCCGGAAGGACTCACTTTCCCAGCTCCTGCCTGGGGAATTGTCCTTTCATGTACCCCCACCTTTCCGTGGCCCCTCAACTTCATGCCCGAGACCTCCAAAGTCTTAAAACCACCCTCAAACAGCTTCCAACAGTGGCATCAAATGGTTTCCTCACATCGTCTTAAGCGGCTCTCAGCAGTTATGTCCCAGCACATGCCCTGGTTGCCGGCTCGGTCCCCAGTGGGGGGAGCGTGCAGGAGGCAGCCAGTCAATGATCCTCTCTCATCGTTGTTTCTATCTCTCTAGCTCTCTTTCTTCCTCTGTCTCTATAAATCAGTAAAAGTAAATCGCAGCGCAGGGATCACAATGCCTGGGGAGGGGGCAGAGTGGTGAGGACAAGAGTTTGTCACAGCCCCTGGCCTTTGGAGTGCTTGTGACTGCTCCTGTGGCCCCTTCCAGGAGGCACAGAGCTCTCCCCAGGAACCCCAGCCTTGGGCAAAGAGTGAGCACTGGGCAGGAGTCGGGGAGCCCTCCGAGGTGCTGGGCACTGCTCTAAGCAGGCCCATGTATTAACTCACATGGACCCTACCCATTTTATTGGCACCCTATTACTTTATCTTAAAAGGGAACATCACTGTTTTGTTTTGGCAGATGGGGAAACCGAGGCACCGTGAGGTTTAATCACAGCATAAAGCCGTTCAGTGGTGGGACCAGGATTTGAACCCTGGTGACTGACGTAAACTTTTTTTTTTTAAGCTTACAGAAATGAGGGGATGGGACCGGGTGCCGTCTCTGACTCGTCCCCATTCTACCATTAGAACAGCGGAGGGTCTTTCCTGCTGGCTTTATTGCAGAGTCTGGGGTCACGCAGGGCAACAGAACAAACCCACGGAAAACAGGCGGCTCTGTAAAAGACGAGCCTGTCAGGCTAACCTGATTTCCTTCCTTGAGATCATGAGATTAGGAGAGAACAGCCAGGCCGGGGCACGTCCTGCTTGTGGTTTGTGGAGAGCGGCCCTGAGCCAGGGGTCCCTGGAAGCTCCCCTGCACTGTGTCTCTCTGGACTAATCACATTCAGTGGGATGCCTCACCTCCTCCCACCGCCCGGCCTGCTACCCCAGCACCTGCCGGACTTGTACAAGACGTCCAGCCAGGGAGATTGGAGCCTGGCCTCTCTCTCATCCTCCACCCACCCTCCACCCCTCCACCCCCCGTGGGTTGCCATAAAGCGGGGTCAACCTCTACAGAGTTGGAAAGTCAATGCTTTCGTTGGCCTGACTTAACTCTGGCGTCTGCTTAAGTAGAATAGCAACGATAAGCCACACTGGGTGGCACTTAAGAGCTGCCTGGTCATTGTTGGAAACAAACAAGGCCCTGGGGTCAGAGGTGAAAGTGGGCTGCAGCTCCGAGTGGCAGGATCAGGGAGCTGCCCCGGCATCTGGAGCCTCTACCTCCCCGTCCCTGGGCAGATGATGAAACTGAGACATGGAGTAACCTGTCCAAGTTCAGACGGCAAGTGCTGGTGGAGATGAGATTCCAACGGGATCTCTCCAGGCCAAGCAGGGGGCTCGGTCCACTTAACCTGGCTGCCGTCTCCTCTGGGACCAGCTCGGGAAGCCATGTGCTCTGGAATATGGGCTTGGGACCCAGAAGGCCCCAATGCAATGCCGGCAACCATGAGACTCAGAAACCTGAAAAGGAGCTGGTCCCGTTCCCTAAGAGAACCTCCTACTTTCAACAGCACCCGCTTTCTCTGAGTTCTCAGAGCTCCTCAATCCTGAAACACAGCCCAGGACTAGGAGGCCAGCAGCACCCCACGGCCCTGTAGGCCAGGAGGGTCACAGCCAATCCCAGGCCTCCGCTGGTCCCCTGGGAGAGCTCTGAACTCTCTCTCCCAGGTCCCTGAGACCAGGATACAACAAGCCAACACGCACTGCACACGAGCGTCCATTTACCCTTCACCGAGACCCGAGGAGGCTGAGATGTTGTTGCACCACAGCATTTTATCAGTGAGGAAACGGAGGCATAGCTTGCACTAGTCCAGTACAGCTAGGACCACAAACCCAGCCAGCCTGGCTCCCAAGTGGATGCACCTCCTCCTTTCTGTGATCATGTCTGTTAAGAAGCCACCCTGCCCCAATCCGGGCATCCCAGGCCTGTCAGTCACCCTGCCCTGACCAATGGGGCTGGTGCAGTGCTCAGGCTGGGCCAATCAGACTCTCCGGCATTTGACTTTTAGGCTGAGTGACACAGAGGCCCTGAGTCATCCTCACAGAGGGGTCCCCCGAAAATCCATTTCTGGAACGGCCTTTGTTCCAGCTTTTCTCTCGCCACTGTGAGCTGTCCAGCTTCCTCCCAATAAATGTCTCCCCCCCTCCCACCCCGCCCCTTGCTGGTTAGCCAGAATTAAGTGCTGCAATTCAAGGACCCTAGGATACAACCATTGTAGAAAGGATTTTCTTTTCACTTCTATACATTTACTAGGCACCAACCATGTGCCCACACAGGACTGGATTCAATGTGGACGCTGCTACGTATTAGCTGTTGTGATCCTGAGGAAGTGACTTTACTCCTCGGATCTGATCCTCACCCCTCTCATCTGAAGGATGAGGCAATTACCTTGCACTACAATTATAAGGATGATGTTCCAGGAAGAGGAAAAAGCAGGTGCAAAGGGCTGGAAGTGAGTGTTTGTCTTTGACCCCAGTGGCAGGTTGCGTCAATGCCACCCAGTTCGTCACACCTCCCTGCGTCCATGCTCTTTGCCATGTGACTCTGCAGGGCCCTCCTTATTGTGGGTGGAAGGTCACCCCTTCCTCTTCTCTCTGAGCTCACCGCTGTACTTTGGCCAGGGGGATGATAGCGGATATGGCTCAAGCAGACATTTGAAAAGGGTTTGCAGAGTTGAGTTTGCTCTCGCATGCTACTCCTGCTGCCTTCAGACGGACATACCCAGGCTAGCCCACAGGTCCCAGGAGGAAGAGGGGAGACACATGGAGCAGAGGTATTCCCAGCTGAGCCCAGCCAAGATCAGCTGATCCCCAGCCAAGTGCAGACTCATGAGTTAGCCCAGCTGAGACCCACAAACCAAGTCAAGTTCAGCTTGGGCCAGCCAACCCCCTCCTGACTCACAGACCTGTGAGAAATAATAAATGATTGTTGTCACCTGAAGCCGCTGAGATCTGGGATATTTTGTTAAGTAGCAATAACTAACTGATACATAAACTGTTACCCAGAAGTGGGGTTCTATCATAACCAAACTTAAAATACGTAGCATTGTTTTTGGGATTGGGTGATGGGAATGGGTAAACGATTAGAGAAATAATAAGGAAACTGCTGCTGGAGGCTGGAAATATAGCAACTCCATTCTGTAGGCTGAATCATTGCTGCTAGGCAGTGTCTTTAACCACTTGGGAAATAAAGTTTATCTAATAAACTCTTGGATTTGGACAAAGATTTCCAGGCCAAATACTGGAAGAGAGAGAATGTTCAAAATGTAAACAGACCTCATCAAACCCTCCCAAGAACTTACAGGATGGTCACTGTTTTCATCCCCATTTTACAGATAAGGAAACTGAGGCTCAGAGTGCCTGACCAAAAGTCATACAGCCGGAAGTAAGGGAGCCAGGATACAGGCCCAGACCCCTGAGTGTATCTTAAACCCAAACCATCAGTTCCTCTTCTGCTTGCCGCTGCCTTTCTCTGCACCAGCCCTGTTAATAAGTAACAGTGCAACACCAGGTACCAGGCATGGTACTCAACCAGTTACTAAGAGCTTTTTGTTTTAATTCACTTACTCTTCACAATAACCCTTTGAGGTGGGTACTATGACGATCCCTATGTTAAGGACAGGCACAGAGAGGGTAAGGTCACAAAGCTGCAAAGTGACAGATGCTTTGAATTCGGACTGACTCCAGCATTCCCCTCTTCAGCCCGGAGCCCCACACCGCTGCACACTCATCGTTTTGTGATGATTTCACAGGCTCGGGGGTTTGAAGGATCACACATACTGGGGGGAGGGTTGAGGGACACAGCGTTGCCTCAGAAATAGGAGAACTAGAAGCAGAAATAGAAACCGGGAGAGAGGTGGGCAGCAGAGCATCGTCTGGCCCAGCCTGAGACCCTCCTCTCCAAGTCACGATGGCAGCCCTGGCTGAGCGCCCGGTGCTGGCGAAGCTCTGGGAGTCAAGCAGGATGGGCACATATGGCAGTGCCGCCAGAGACCCCTCAGAAATAGGAGAACTAGAAGCAGAAATAGAAACCGGGAGAGAGGGTGGGCAGCAGAGCATCGTCTGGCCCAGCCTGAGACCCTCCTCTCCAAGTCACGATGGCAGCCCTGGCTGAGCGCCCGGTGCTGGCGAAGCTCTGGGAGTCAAGCAGGATGGGCACATATGGCAGTGCCGCCAGAGACCGCCCTCCGGGGCCTCCCGCTGCCGCTGGGCTCTGCAGACATCCCCAGGGAAGGCCCTGATGGTCAGGCTGGGCATTTCTGCAGAGGCATCAGCTGGGGAGAGGTAAGAGGGTGGGAGGGAGCAGACAGGATGAAGGGCATTTGGGCAGACTGGAGGACAGTGGGCATGCGTGATTCCCTGTTAGCCAGGCTGTGTGTTCAGATGGGGACAAATGTGCACGAGTGGGCACTGAGCCTGTGCGGAGCCCAGCAGAGCAGTGTGGAGGGGAGTCGCTGCATGGCTGTGCATCATGCTAGAAAGAACAGGGCAGAAGACGGGAAGCTGCCAAGTATCATGTCTGCTGCCGCCCCGAGGCTGACATCCACCGGCAGCCACCTTCTCTTCTAGCCACCCTGGGAGGTAGGCAGTACAGCGACTCAGAGAAATGAGCTGATTTGCCCAAGGTCACACAGGAATGATTGGGAGGTGGGGATGTTTCAGATATTACCCTGCTCCATTTGGGCTGTTTAAGAGACTACCTTAGACCGAGTGGCTTATACACAAAACACATGTATTTCTCAGTCTGGAGGCTGGAAGTCTGAGATCTGGGTGCCAGCATGGTTGGGTTTCTGTGAGGGTTGCTGACAGCCATTTTCCCACTGGAATCTCAGATGGCAGAGAGGGTGAGAAGCTCTGTGGGTGTCTTTCGTAAGGGCACTAATCCCATTCCTTGGGGCTCCACCCTCATGACCTAATCACCTCCCAAAGGCTCCACCTCCTAACACTATCACATTGGGGTTTAGGATTTCAACATATGAATTTAGGGGGATACAAGCATTTAGTCCATAACAGAGGGCATGAGTGAGGTGCTGTAAGTCACCAGTGAGCAGAACTGAGGAGCAGCTTCTAGGAGTTTCTGGAAGTTCTTGCTCAACATCAGGAACACCACCCTTGGAGAGAACCTTCTTCCACCAGGCTCCACCGGGAACATGGAAGCAGCTGTTTGATAGAACTTTCCAAAGCCTGGCCCCTGGCAAATAGGAAAAAAACAGGCGGAGGAAACATCCCAGCAGGCAGGCCTGATGGTCAGTGAGCCTGGCAGATGTCCAACCATCAGCTCATCAGAGAGCAGTCAGGCTGGTGGGCAGTCAACTGCGTGATCCGGCACTGGTGTAATCATCATTCACCAGCTGTCCAGGCCAGCCTGCCCTGGAGGCTTCAGGGCCAATGGAGGGCACCTTGATTCCCCCTCTCAAATGGGAAGTTCTGGGCCCCTTTCCCATCCCCATGCACCCCACTGAGTCTTTGTCTTTTCACTCCCCTGCCTTTATTGAGCACTCTATCAGTTCCCTAATGCTGCATAACAAACCATAAAACCCAGTGACTTACGAGTATGCATTTCTTTAGCCTCTGAGTCTGGGGGTCAGCGGGACAGTTCTCATCTTGGCTGGTCTCACTCAGGTGTCTGTGTCTGCAGGCAGCTGGCAGATAAGCTGTGGGCTGGGCTCTCTTACATGCCAGGGCCTCAGCTTGGACAACCGGGTGGCTTGCCTCTGCTCCACGTGGTGTCTCATCCTCCAAGAAGGTGGCCCAAGCTATGCACACTGAAGAGGCCAAGGTCTGAGAGAGTGAGTGGCAGCATAAAAGGCCTCTTAGGGCTTGGGCTGAGGACTAGCTCACTTCTGCTGCCTTCCGTCGGCCAAAGCAAGTACCAAGGGCATCCCAGATTCAGGAGTGGAAGGAACTGCAAAGTGTCATTGCAAAGGTCATGGGCATGGGGAGGACATCCACTAAGGCCATCAATGCAATCGGCAGCAAACACCTCTAGGCCCCTCTTCCCTCCACCTACTGGTCTACTTCTTGTTCTTCTAGACCAAGCATGTCAAACTCATGGCCCATGGGCCCGCATGCCTCATTTATTTGGCCCGTGTTAGCCTTTGAGTTTGATATGCTTGTTCTAGGCCCTTCTCAGTTTAGTTCTTTGAAGCTTTGCCTGAATGCCCCTCTCCCCATCCACTCCAGACAAAATGAAGTGCTGGCTTCTCTTTGCCTAACATTTTTTTGGTGCCTGTCTTAAAGCCCCCAAGTATGTGGGGTGACTTACCCAGCTGCCATTGCTGCTAGGCACACTCCAGGGCACATGAGCTGCACTAGAGTGGCCTCCACACCTCAAAGCCAGGCATGACAACAAAGATGGGGGGCGGGGGGCTGAGAGCGGGAGGCCAGCCTGGGTCAGAAGCTCTGGGGCAGGGCAGCCCAATCCTCAGAGAAGAAAGAGAAGTCATGAAGGAGAGAGATACGGTCCCTCCCCCTCCCTCCCCATTCTCTACCTACAGATAAGGGGTCCACCTCCACCCTTCTTCTCCCCTTCCAGCCTGTCCTGGCCCTTCCCTGACTCTTTGTTAAGGAGTCTCTGGTCACTGAGTCCACACCACAGTGACAGTGACAGGGGAGACCTCCAGGCATGGAAGGGGCCGGAGCGGGGAGTCTGGAGAGCCAGCCCCAGTCCTAGCACTGCCTCCACAATCCCAGACCTCGGTAAGAACTCCCCATGGGGCTCAGTGTCCTCATTTGTAAAGTGAGCGGTGGGGAGTCTAGGGGAGTTCGTGATCCTGTCCTGGTCCTCAGCCTGCAGTTTTGGTGGGTTCCCCCTGAAGATGCGCATCTGAAACAGGCAGAAAGCTACCTGTGTAAGGTCCTTCGCATCCCAGGAGGCTTTGCACCTGCCTGTGTGGGTGGCAAACCCAGGAGCTGGAGGGAGGCCCAGAGAGGCTCCAAGACCATGCCCCTGCTCCCCCGTGGACAAGGCCAGATCGGAACTCAAGTCCCAGAGCTTGTGAGGGTGCTCTGTGCACACCCACCCCTGGCAAAAGCCCAAGTAGAAAGTGGGCTAGTTTGGACCCAGGCTGGAGAGCCAGGGCCGGGGTTCTGAGAGGGGAGGGGCTGGGGGTTCTACTGCCTCTTTGCATGAGGAAATGCAATGGGGTGGGGGAAATGGGTGGTCCTGGCCTTGCCCTGGATGATGAGGAGGATGAAGAGATGCTCCTTCAGTCCTTCCGCTGGGCTCTCTCCCTTCCTCACCTTCCCCGATCCCAGGATTCCCACTGCTGCTCCCCATGCTCCCGGCTGGAACCCTCCCTTCAGTCTGGGTCATTCTGGGGTCCACCTGTGTGAGCTAAAGGCACAGGAGTTGGAGTTAGGCAGCTGAGTCAGGTCCTGGATTCCTGCCACTTCACTTCTCTGTGCCTCAGTTTCCTCTTCTGTAAAATAGGGACATAAGGAGAGTGATTACCTCACAGGGCTGGGGGAGGGGCAGGGCCCTTGTTTGCCCGGCCTGTGGTTTTGGTTTATGGGGCAGAGGACAAGAAGGGAGGGGGTCTCCCCAGCGGTGCTCCTTCTTCCAAGAAATAAAAGCTGCGTAGGTCCCCATCGCCCCAGTTCCTTCCCCTCAGGTCATTTGAATGATCTTTTTTTTTTTTTTTTTACAAAAAGCAAGTGATTTCCTAGGCAAAGACAAGTCCTGGGCAGCTCCCGGCAGCAAATCCCACATTTTGGACTCAGACCTATAATTCGCCATATGTCTAGAGCAGGTCCTAGGTATCCGAATCTCATGCTTTATTTCTGCTGAGCCCAGGTCCCCCGCACTCTCAGCCCAGGCCTCCTCCCTCGGGACATCCAGCTGTCCCCGGGCTGGCTGGGCTGGTGCCCAGGTCTCCTCTAATTCTCCAAGGACGTGCAGGTCTGCAGACGCAGGAGGTGATGATGGAGGGAGGGTGTTTAGAACCCACGCTCCGCGCTTCCCCAGGAGCTTCGAGCTCGGTAAAGGTAGCAGCCAGCGGCTGCCAGTCCCCTGTCTGCTCAGGGTGGGACCACGGCTCCCGGCTCAGTCCTCAGGCTCCGCTCCCCCGCTTCCCCTACCAACACCCCGCCTAGGAGCCCCTCTGCGGATAAACCTCCTGCGGTGAAAAGGCACAGCCCCAGAGCAGGATCTAGAGTGACAGGAAGGGCAGCCAATGACGGTGGCGTTAGAGCATTACATCATCACCATGTGCTCCCATTGGTTGGGAACACAGTCTCCCCGGCGCCGCATCCCAGCCCTGACAATGGGCCTCAGCTCCTCGGGCTCCCAAAGCTCGGTGCCAGGTTTGCAGAGAAGGCACCTGTGGGACTGATCGCTGGGCCGGATGGAGCCGGAGGTCCAGGCTCTGCCACTAATTAGGGGAGAGGAGCGGTGTCACCAGGCGTCAGCTTCCTCACGTGCCAGAGGAGAAAGTCCCTGCTGTACATTCTCCCCACTGCCCACACTTCAGAGCTCCAGGGACCAGGCTCCGCCCCGGTTCCCCCAGCACCACACATTCACCCATCTGAACATCCTCCCCGCAGGGCCGTGGGCCTTGAGGGCACAGGGGTCTTGTCTGGCTCGCTCTCATTTTCATCCAAAGTGCCTGGCAGGATGTGGAGATGTGTACTAGGGCAGGCATGGTGCTAAACCTTACCTATTATTCTATTCATGCTGTAAACATGAACTCCCGCGGGCATTGAGGCTGGGTGAGGATTGCACTGGTGAGTGGGAACGCCAGGATTCGCACCCAGGCCTAGAGCTCCATCTGGAGCCCTGAATCCCAGGAGCTTTGAGCTTGGTAACGGTAGCAGCCAGCGGCTGCCAGTCCCCTAGAATGAATAGCCAGCCCTCACTGTTGTGCCTGCTTCAAGCTCCCCGGCCTGATGGGCAGTTTTTGTCAGGAGCCTTCCCTGGACTGGCTTTGCCAGGGCCAGGCTATCCCGCTGCACTGTTGTCAGCGAGGCTGCATGGTGACGGGGAAAAGCTGTTGCTGGGATTTGAGGAGTTCAGTTCTGAGATGTCAGAAGGATTTCAGCTCTCCTGCCACCCCAGGGATGGTGGCACCTCTATCACAGTGAGCTGGCTCATGTCAGGTCAACCGTGGCATGACACATCGCTGCCTCTTCTCTTTGCCTTCCTCTTGAGCTCCCTGGCATCCATGCTTGTGCCTGCAATTTAGGTGCAGGTGTCTGTGTGCTTATTAGGACGAACACCTCTAACCTCAGGGAAGCTTCTGTGGAGTCAAGCTTTTAGAGCAGGGGTTCTCAACCTTGGCTGCACA